TTAATAATTGGGTGGTCTATCCCTTGCGACCTGGGGACAGAGTAGGATGCTTTGTTCGTTTTCTGAAGAAGTTGGAAGGATCAACGTGGCCCTTAAGTCGAACCAACCTGTCGAAGTTGTCCTTGAAATACTCCACCCCATAATCTCTGCCTTCTCGGTACGTAGCTGTTCTTTCCATTGTGGCTGACACCCAAGTCAAGATCCTTATAATTGAAGAATGCTCCGAATCAACTTTCTTAAAATTTCCTATCTGACTTGCTTTAAGGATATATACAAGAATATATTATTGGTAGCATGTTTCATTTTATAATGACTGAAACGATAAATGCCAATTTAGATGCTGCACATCTCCGTATTTGACAATGAGGGTTGGGGTATATATATAGGGAGACTGGATTTTTTAGTGGTTTTTATAAGCTTTATTATCGTACACTGATCGACTTGTTAACCGAGATGTGTTAAACAAGTCCGTGGTCAAATTTTGATTGGAGATTGAATCATCACACGAAGAAAAGTTCATGGTGTGTCTGTGTGTGTGTATTCAAACAAGAACGAATTTTGGGGTCATGTGCTACAGGAAAAGTTGAATTCAACAATGCTCTATAAAACACAACAAAAAAGGACATGACATGATTGTGCAATTGAAGTATAATGAAGGAGAAAGGGGAAAATGAGGATTAGGGATCTAGGGTTTGAAGCTAAGAGTGAATTATATTGGGCATGAGGGGAAGAGGAAAATGACGAACCGGATTGATTATGCATGGGCTCTCCAGGTGCAAGATATTATTTGGCAGTGGCCGCGCAAGTTTAACTCTGAGCTGGCACCGTTACCCACAAGTTAGTGACTAATTAAGATGATGCGTTCAAAATCCACGAGTCAAAACTCAAAACCTTGCCTAAAGCATACGATATAAAATGTACAAGAAGTTTCTCCTTTTGAAATTTGTGCTTTAGATAACGGGTTTCATTTATTAAGAAATTTCACACGAGTTGTAATATTATATAACTTAATCTCATACTTTTTATTTTTTTTCTCCTAGGATTTTCTTGTGAGACCTTTTCTCTCTTTGTCAATGTGAGTTATTTTCCATGATCTTTGATCTCCGACTCCTCTCTTGCTAGCTTCTACATGCTGTGAGAGGGGCCCTGGCATGGGTGAGTGTTTGGCTAGTTTTCCATCTCTTTCCATCAGTGTGTTGTGTCCTCCTTCAATCTAAGTTGCTGAAAAAGGAATGGGGTTTTGATTGGCGTTGGCGAGGTAGATGTTGCCTATCCAAAGAATTGACGATTTGCTTGATGGTTAATCATAGGTTTTGCAACTTCTTCTCACAAGCACAGAGGTATATGAGGTTTCTTCAATATAAATCTTGATTTTGGTTTGCTATTAGGGGTTTTCGACTTAGACTTCTCAGTTTGATAGGTGATGGTCTATGACATAAATAGGGGTACTTTTCTGTGATGCTAGCATTTGGTTTGTTGTTGCTAATGATTTTGGTTCTCTCTATATGGAATCTAATGTGTGGAAGTGGTGAACTTGTTATAAAAATTGTTATTTATATAAGGATGGGACAGTTAAAATAGTTCTATAAATATCTATCCTTATTTTCATATGTGACTTTTAGTTTCTTAAAGTTTTCATGGTAGTAGCATCATTTTTAGTTTTCTAGTTATGTTTTAAGGCTTGGGATGGTCTTGATAGTATTTTTCCCCTTTTTTTTTTGTGTCATTTTATATTGGGTTTAGGGGTTTTTTTTTTCTTATTTGTATTTTGTTTGTTGTACGTACTTTATTTATCTTTGTAAACCCTACGATATTCAATGATATTTCATGTTTCTGGTTTAAAAAAAACTCATAGTCCATACATTGCCTGGTACTTAAGATTAAATATAGGATCATACTGAAAAAACAAGTTTAAGTAACAAGTAAATAAATAGGAGGGAAATTTTGAAATGGAAAAAAGGGTAATAGCCAAAAAAAACTCAATGAAACTGATGTACAACCTTATATGAACAATGAACAGCTCGAATAGCTTCGGATAATATTCATCATATACTATGTAATTAGATAAGGTTATATGTTTTTAAGAAGTTTCATGTGTCAGGCAGGTAAAGAAAAAAAAAACAAGAAGAAGCTCTATGTGACTATATAATTATGTGACAAAATAAAGAAAGCGAGGGAGTAATTTTTACTGTAATTTTGTGTATTGACGACATGACACAGAACAAAGTAAACGATACATTATAATATGTGAATATGTGATAAACCATCACTTTTAAGATATTTAATTAATGGTTTATCATCATCATACAGAATATTTTAAAACTTACATGCACTTTACTCCTGCCACTAGTACATTGGTTTTTTTTTTTTTTGAGGCCAATAATACATTGGTTTAATATATTTGAAATTCCAATGTTTTAAATAATAATAGAACATAATCCAGCTCAATAAAGAAAAGATATTACGCCCTTAATTATCAGATATAAGCAATAAGTTCTTTTTACCAGAATTAATATAAGCAGCAAGTTAAGAGAATCTTTTGTTGTCAAAGTATAAGAAGTATCACAAACTTCCGTGAATAATGGTCCTGATCTTTACAAAATTTTCGTTTATTATAAATAATCATTACATTCTCCATTTTTTAATAAAGATAATAATCTCTGGCTCAATTACACATATTTAGTGGAGGCAAAATAGAAAAGATAAAACTCAGTTTAGATATTAAATAATTAAACTATTTTGTAATATATCACTTAGAGCTCTTTTTATAGCGGCTAATTATTTAAATAATTGTTATATGGAGGAGATGGGATTTGATTCTAGAAACTATATACGATTATATATGATAACTACTATGAAAATAGGCTAAGCCAAATAAACCTGAGCCTATATGATAAATTTGAGGTTTAAGTTTGGCCTGAAACTTATATAAAGTTAAGCCTGAATCTATTTAAAACCTTGCCTAACTTAAAAATATATTTAAAAGCTTACTTAAAAGTAAGTTTTTTAAATAGACTCTCATGTTAGTTTTAAGTGTATCAAATATACTTTAGAATTATTATAGTATATAATATATAACGTGATTTATAAATTATAATATATAATAAGTGAAAGGACTTATCAACTATAATAGAATTTAAAAATAAAGTACTAACATTAAAATTAATATATAAATCCAACATGATTGAAAATATAACTAGAAATAAAAAAAGAATAAATTAATTAAAAATCAAATGGTGAAATTTACTTACATAATATGTGTGTGTGTGAATATAGACTGGCCTATTGAACTCTTAAGTTAGGCCTTAAAAAAATAATTATAGCCTATTTAATTAAATAAGTTTAATTAAAAGTCTGAAACTAATCTAAGCCTATTTAGTAAATAAACTGGGCTGGACCTAAAGTAAGTTAGGCTATAGGACTTTATTAGGAACCTAGCTTATTTTCACCCTTAGTTATATAGTCTTTAAATCTATATAGCAGTTAAAATGAAAACTAGCTATATAACCTCTATTTTTTTTTTTTAATAATCAAAGGGTCAAAATCCTAAACTGTATTATTCTATCCCAAAACTTCTCCAGGACTAGTGAAGCCCATAGCATCCCTGTACAGTAGATCACAACAACCCACAGGAGGGAGGGGAAGTAAAACACTATAATTTGCTATCAGCAACTCTATTTTACAGCTTTCAAACAGGTAAGCTCCTTCTGCAGTAGCGCCTGAATGCTATTAGTAGGAATATCCCCATTATAAGGTTTCTGGAGAATGCTAATAACAGCACTAGAATCCCCGTCAACCACCAAATTTTCAACCTTCAAATCATCAGCAATCCTAACTCCCCATACAGTTCCCCAAAGTTCCGCCATCTTAGCACTACAATAACCCAGATTTTTGACAAAACCCCTATGCCAGCCTCCTTGATCATCTCTAATGACCACACCATCAACCAACACACTTCCCTTTTACAGCCCCATCAAAATTCAGTTTCCACCAACCTTGTTCAGGTTTCCTTCACCCCACTGCTATATAATGTTTCAGTGAACCATTCTTATCAAATCCAGAAGACAAGTTCAAAATTTTCCAAACACACTTCCAAATCACCTCTGTAGGATTAGAAGGCAAGGAGTAGTCAGCATCAAAAAGGGCTTTATTCCTCCAATGCCACAACCACCAAGTAAGTCATAGTAAAATAAATGTTCCAACTGACACTACAATTAGTGAGATTAGAAGACAGCCAAGTTACTAAAAAAAAAAAAAAAAAACTCGCCTCAGCATCACTCTTCCCTAGATCCCTCCAAACAACCCGAGCCTCCCTGCAATCACGAAGCACATGTAAAAAATCCTCCTTATCCTTCTGGCACCTGCAACACAAATCAGAGCAACCAAATAACTGCTCTCTTCTATCAGAGGTATGTGTGAGGTAAATTGATGGAGTGTGAAATTTTGTGCCGCATTCATATATATGGATCGGATAATCTATAGCGGGCTTGTTTTTATTTCAGTTTGTTTTCTGATAAGCCATCCATGCAAGCCACATGACAATCGTTATATATATGATACTCTCGTGCTGTTCTTCTGCAATTATTTGGTCATTCTAACCAAATTTAATGACTCGGACCGATGACAGTTGAAAAACTATCCTAATTTAGCAGTAATGTCAGTTTTATTCAACATTAATCCTTATCAACCATCATCAATTACGCACTGCATGTGCTGACTTTAATTTCCCTTGCCCATATATACTCCTCAAGCCGCAAAATACCATCTTATACATACAAAATAATGCAGCTTTAATTTTGAAGCTTTGCTTCTCCTGCACGCCTTTGTTCACAAATATTACAAAAAGCAAATATGATCATATCACTGTTAAAAAAATGAAATGAAAGATTAATCTATGGGGAAAAAAAAAGATGAATGAAGAAATAGGACGAAATTGATATCTTGACTGCTGAAGATGATCGCCGATGATCCAAAACCAAACATGGCGAGGCACATAACAGTGTTAAATGAACTCACAGTTGACTGACAACGAGCCTGATGAGTGAAACAGTGTGATATTTATACAATTACACACACATAACCCAAAGTTATAAGACCCAATATAGGCTATATCACTAAACTGACAATTGATGAAATACCAGAAAAGTATATATGCTTTGAGATTAAAATAAAACTGTGGAATATATACACACTCATAGAAGTTGATCATGCTCTAGATCACTATAGTTTCACTACGTTAGGTGGTGTGTCAACAAACTGCTGTGTTTCTGAAACAAGCAAACCATGGGACGATGAGGAAGCTATGGTGTTTAGAGTGGATCCGGATGATGCGTAATCAGCAGTCCAAGGTTGGTAGCCTTCAAACAATCCACCGAAGTCGATTTCCTCGTAATTTTGCGGCTCAATGTTAGAGCACATCCTTCTCAGTCTTTGAATCCCTTCTAATTCGGCTGTGACTTCTCTCATGGTCGGCCTCTTCCTCCCGTTCAAGTTCAAGCATCTTCTTGCTAGGTTTGCCACGACCGTGATTTCCTCCTTCGCCCCTTCCATGATTCTCGGGTCCAGAATATCATATAAACGACCTTGATCCATACACATTATGAAATATGAAGCCAAACTCTGAGCTTCTGCTGGCCTTCCAGATGATGATATCGGAACCTGACCTGTCAGAAGTTCCACCACAACAACTCCGAAGCTGTACACATCACTCTTGTCAGTGAATTGACTGGTATGAAAATACTCAGGGTCCAAGTAGCCAAAAGTACCCTGAACTTGAGTCGTGATGTGGGTCTTTTCCATAGAAACCATTCTTGAAGTTCCAAAATCAGCAACTTTTGCTCTGAACTTGTCGTCCAACAGAATGTTTGTCGATTTGATGTCTCTATGATAAATGGGCCGAGACGCAGCTGAATGCAAGTAAAATAGAGCTCCCGCAACCTCGCTGGCAATTCTTAAACGCGTGTCCCACACCATGCAGAACTCTTCATTTTGTTCGTGCAAGTGCTCGAAGAGGTTACCGTTTGGGATGAATTCGTAGACCAGCAGAGGAACTTGTGTCTCCAGACAAAACCCTAACAACCTCACCACGTTTCTGTGATTAATCTGAGAAAGGATGATCACTTCGTTGATAAATTCTTCAACATTTCCGTGGAATTCGAGTTTCTTGACAGCGACAATTTGACCGTCGGCAAGCATGCCCTTGTAAACAGTGCCTTGGCCACCCTTTCCGAGCACTCTATTAACGTTGAAGCGGTCGGTGGCCTTTTCAAGGTCCCTGGAGCTGAACAGTTTGGTTTTGTCGAAGCTGACATCGCCGTTTAACGATCTCCGTTGCAACAGCATGCCGCCATTTTGTTTGAAGTATTTTTCTTTGCGTTTGTTCATTCTACTTTTCCGGAAGATTTTGTATTGAATCCACACCCCAACAAGGAAAACAATGGATACTAGGCTCGAGAAAACGACTCCTGTATATGAACATGTTAGAATAAGGTTAATTACAGAGAGTCATACATATACAATTATATAAACACAGACGTGTGGGCGTGAGCAGTTCAAGCAGTCTCCTAGTTGGCACACAATAAAACAACTGCGCACAAAGGACTATAAAATGATTCAATTTCAAAATCCACGCTACTCTCTGTAAAATTCTTTTCATGTGCACGCACCATTAATAAATGTATTCACACAAAAAAAAAAGGCAAAGAAATAGGCATTTATCACCACTTTCCAACACAGACGTGGAACGTAACTTTGATTTAAATATGAAAAGCAGGCGTGCAGGAAAGTCCAGACGAGTGAGAGCTGTGGGGTTGGAATTGATATTCTATGGTCGTGTCGTTTTACACGTTTATTCAAAAATAAAAAATACAAAAGAAGAGCCGCCTCTTGAGAATTCTCCACCTTCAGTGTGCAATGATTTACTATCAAAATTTACTTTGACCACTGGGTCATTTTTTAGAAATTTTATTCATTAATATCAAGACACTTATAATTATCCTACTTTATTTATTAATCTTTTTTAAAAAATAATATATTAAAATTTTAATTTTATTATCAATACATTTATATAAAGTATTTAATAAGAATATAATTATAAAGTTATAATTTATTTTAAAAAAATTAATATTCTAATCAATATTTTTTTAAAACAGTAAATTAATTAATGCTCTATAATTTGATGGAGGAAGTAATTTGCAACCAACGATTCCCAGAACGTTTTCCATTGTGCGCAATCATTTCTAAACTGAAAGTGAATAGAAGGCGAGTTGAGTACAACATGCGTACCTATCACCGACATGCCTGGAGATCTGGATCCAGAGTTCCCTTGCCCACCTGAAAGTTGAAGAATGAAACCGGGTTATACATACCGGGTATTGTTTTAAGAATAAAGGAATGATGGATGTACATGGAATGAGTTACAGTGCGGACCTTGAGGAGCACAAGAACTGGTACACTGAGGTCCGAGAGTTGAGTTGAGCGTCGTGGAAGACGTTTCAGCGCAACTGGTACGATATTCAAGCACTGCAGGAACACTGTCGGAATCCTTCAACTCGCTGAGAATCCATCTTCCCCAATCAGCACGGCCGTTATCTTCTGCAATCAGCGCATAATTGCAATCACCGGGATCCCTGGGGGAACTGTTAGCCGCCACATCTTCAATTCTGGGGTTGAATTCGGACAGACTCCAAGGGAGGGGAGCGGAGCAGCAATAGCTGCCGAGGCAAGCTCGGATTCCGGAAGAATTGGGGTCTTGACCGCAAATGGAGACGCAGCCGCCGGAAACGCGGGAGCCTTGCAGAAGAAGAGCCCGCGTGTGGCAGCCCACGCCCAGAAAGACGTTGTCCTCTCGAGAGTAAACAAAAGGACTTGCAGTCATGTTTACGGGGGGAACAAGCGCGGTGATGTTCCTGCAGTTCCTGGTGTAAACTGGGTTTTTGATCCAAACCTTGCAGGAATCGTAATCAAATCTGGTGACCTCCAGTTGGATCAACTTGAGATAGGGCCTTTGAGTTCCGTCAGAGTTTTGTTTGCATTCGATTTCAAACCACTTGCTTTGGAGGCAGTTGGGAGTGATTCCGAAGGGAGGAGAGATGGTGATACTGCCGCAAGTGGAGTGACAAGAAGATGCGAGCGCCAGGGGAAGAAGAGAGATGAAAAGCAGATGCAGAGCCAGAGCCATGCGGAAAGACAGAGAAGATCTATGGACGGGAGGAAGAAGAATGGAATACAAAGGAGGCGGAAGTTGACTGGGTTTAGTAAAGTAGCGGGAAGACTTGATGGCGGCCTGACCACGGTGGGAAAATAGTATTTGCGAGCATCATTGTCAGAATGCGCAACTTGGTATGGTTTGGTACTGGTGGACGTTGGTCCCATGCAGTTCACAAGATACATACCCTGCCCTTTATTGGTTGAAACTCATCAGTGCTTTTAGGGTCTCATGAATGTGTTTGGCGTTTCTGAAGAGTTTCTCTTCATATAAAAACAAAAAGGCGCCCGTCCTATTCATTATCCACAAATAATCTGTTCTATTATTATTATATGAGCCTAGAGAAGCCAATAACAATCCACGTCTTATTTGATTGAAGGACTAGAAATGGCGTTTAATTAATGTTGTAGTTGATTGGTGAGGATGCAGTGGCCAGTGAGCGAAGGACAAATTGAATAGGAGCCAACAAGTGGAAAGGAAGAAGGGATAGTACAAATTTTAAAGATTTATTTTTTTATTTTTAATTTATATTTATTATAAAAATTATAAAATTTTAATAAATATATCTTATCATCAAGCCAGACAAGATAAATTTAATTCAATTTTAATATTAATATTTTTATAATTTTTATAAATTAACTATTTAAATATATTTTTAACAATTTAATTTAATATTAAATTTTTTAAAAAAATTAATGAACTTTTATTTTAATAAATATAATATTAAATAAAAATAAAAAAATCTTAAAACTGAAAATTTAAAAAAATTTAAAAAAAAGTCACAACCTAAGAATTTTAAATTTAGATTATAAAGAGTATATTTGGATAATTAAATTATAAAAATATTTAATATTAAATTTATCATCCAGATTAAATTTATATTGCCTAATTTAATAATAAAGTATATTTATTAAAATTTATAATTTTTATTTTAATAAATATAAAAATAATATATATATATATATATATATATGTGGGTCCAAATCGGCCATCATGTTGGCCTCGCTGAGGGATATTAATCACCCATATAAAATATCTTGTTGCCAAATGCAAAATTGAACTCTCTCTCTCTCTCTCTCTCTCTCTCTCTCTCTCTCTCTCTCTCTCTCTCTCTCTCTCTCTCTCTCTCTCACCTTAATTCCCTAGTTGCATGCTGCTGTATCTTAATTCCCCAAGGCTCATACCATATCGTACGCATTAATTTTAGTACGGTACATATGAAGAGACCACGAACAACAAGAGACTACCAATATTGCGATCATCATCATCAATGAATTAAGATACGGGCAATTGCTCCCACGAAAAAAGAATTACTTAAGATAACTATAAATAATTTTAGTTGTCCCTTTAAAAATTTTCAATTGCCCCCTCATTTTAAAAAAATTCACTTTTCCCTTTATAAAAGTTTACTTATCTCATTATCTAAAATTATGTGTGTGTATTTTACAACTAGCAATAGTTTTATAATGAAAAGGCAAAAATTTAGGGGGAAAATTGCTTATAAAAATTTTATCCAAAACAATTCTCTATCATACAAAAGAGGTATATCAATTTTATTTAATAAAAATCAAAAACATGATTCTAATAGATATAAAAATATATTTATATAAAGAGGGTATTTTTTGTTATTATAATATTATGTTTTCTTCATTCTTTAATATTTAATTTTATTAACTTATACCATTAGTAAAATTTAATAAATATTTAAAATTATTTATTTTATAAAAATATTAATATTTATTTTAAGTACTCCTTTTGTTCAAAAGTATAAGGCATTTTTAACCGAATCTCACTCTCTATAAAATGGTTATCTACTTTTAGACTAATACTATCTTTTTATATTTATTCATATTAAACACCCTATAATAAATATAAAGTTACTATCAATAGGGATACTTTTAAAAAAAAAGGGCAATGATTATATCTTAAAAGACTAAAACTGCCTTACATTTTTTAACATTCAATTCTTTAAAAAATACCTTACATTTTTTAACGAAGGGAGTATAAATTATGCCCTCATTGATTAATTTTTCTGGGTTTTCACTGATCATCATGTAAATTCAATTTAAAATGTGAAAAACACATGCATGTGTTACTCAACAAAAATATGGGTTTAATTGATAATAATTTAACTTATATAATGTACAATGTCATTAGTTTAAATTTCACTATTAAGGATTTTGTTAGTAAATAATATATAAGTATCTCTATACAATGTTTTTAGAGTTTGAAAGCATGTCTTAATCTTGATTTGAACTTCAAAAACCCAACTTAACATAATCTTTTTTCAGTTATAAAAAAATGTATGTATGCACTACCTCCCGTAATGCATCTTTTACAAAAAAAAAAATTAATTCCTTAATACAAGGTGCTTAATAGGATATTAATTTATTTTTTTTAATATTATTTCTATTTAAATTCATTAAAGCAAATGCGACACTGACAGTCCATGTTATATTTCGCATAATTATAGCATAGTCATGTAAAGAATGCGAGATAAAATGAAGGATATTATTATTGGTTTTGAGATTATATACATATATATATATATGTCATAATGAACAGCTTATAACATAATGATAAGCTCCAGGATACGGAGGGGATAATGCGCGCGCGCGCGTAAATGTTGCCATCCGCTTTAGCATCCGCGTTGCCATCCGCTTTAGCCTCGCCATCGTCATCCCCAAAGGCATGCAAATATGGTCAACAAGTTGAAAAAGGTGTTTATCATGACGCCTGCTTCCCTTCTGACACTTAAACTAGTCGATTACAGGGCTAATTGAGACTTTGGAATCTACAGGGTGAACTAGTAATTTTTTTTTTTTTGGGACTAAAAGGACAATTATGTTAACAAATAAAGATAAGCAGTAGCTACAAGGTTAATGTTAAAACAGAATTAACAAAACTATTATGAAAAATAAAGGTGGGAAAAACAGAATATCAGTACTATACTTCTGAATTCTACAGCTGTTAAAGGAGTGGACTAGTAATTAATTGGTGGGACTTCGTTGATCCTCGTGTGCATATAAAATGCTTAACTGAGTTCATAAAGTAAATCATGTAAAAACTTCAATTATTGCCGAATACATGTATTATATTGCGCATACACAGGTTGATTTATATTCTACGTTTATACTTGTCTCCGGATCATCCATCAGCATACACGAAACCGGATGAAACCTAAAATTATTATTATTGTTATTTTGATTGCGTCCTAAGTTTATTTCTTTATTGATCCATCCAATCAAACACCCTACATTTCAAATTACTCTGGGCTTATATATAGCCCAACACAATGATACAACAACCAAAAATATGAGAGATAAGTTCCTAATGCCTTGGCCCAATAACTCAGCCAACGCACTTTCCTCAGAGCATCCTAATCCAAATGATTTTGGGTTTTTTTTTTTTTTTTGGTTGGCGGGGGAAAGATTGTGGCGACGAACTGAAATCCCTGAAAATTATGGTTGTCAAAGTAGATCGTCCACCAATTAATCACGGTTAATTACAAATTCTTATTAATTACTCCCTCCTAACCACAAGACATCTTCTAGTGCCCTTACTTAATTGGTCCAATATAAAGCATTTGATAACTTTTATAATTTTTTTTTCAAATATTCCCTTGTTTCATTTATTAATGAGTTAATTAAAGGTAGGGATGGAAATAAGTCAAGCCCTTATTAGGAGCTTATGCCTTAACCTACTTCAGGCTTAGCCTATTTAGTAAATAGACTCAAGCCAAGCTCATGCTTTTAATTAGGTCTATTTAATTAGATAAGCTAGATTTATTTTTTAAGGTTTAGAATACGAGCTCAACAAGCCAAGCTATTTACACACATATATATTGAGTAATATATCACACACATATCAGTTTCAACCTTTTATTTTTAATCAATCTATTCTTTTTTATTTCTAGTTATGTTTTCAATTGAATTGGACTTATATATTGATTTTAGTTGATAAGTCCTTTTCATTATTATATATTACAATTGACAAATTAGATTATGCTAATAGTCCAAAAATATATTTAAAATATTTAAAATTAAAATGCAAGCCTATTTAAAATATTTACTTTTAACTTTTTAAGTAGGTTTTTTAAATAGACTTTTAAACCAGGTCAAGCTTTAAGTAGGCTTGAGCTTCAATTATAAAAAAAGCCTTATATAAGCTTCAGGTCAAACTCAGATTTCAAATTGATCATATAAGTTTAGGCCTATTTAATTAAAGCCTAATTCAATCTAACTTATTTTTACCCCAAGTTAAAGGACAAATTTGCTTTTAAAGTTTTGTTCAAGGTGCAATTGGTATTACTCTTGAAAAGTGAAATGTCCCCCTTGATCTTTTAAAAATAGTGTAATGTTATCCAATTTTAATAGATGCACATATTTAACAGTTAGTTGACCTAATAGTGTCTAGGTGGCATGATTATCTGGCATTCACCTCACTTTCTTTTTTTTGCTTAAATTAAAGCTATGCCCATTTGGCAATGTACAAAGCAGCAGATGAAGATCAAGCGTCCAAGCCCGCTGAGAACTCTAATTCCATCGACAACTCTAGCATTCACCATGTTTTCCAGTCATCCCAGCGGCAATGAAAGAGCTAATGCTAGAGAAATCTTGAAGGTAAAGATGAAAAAGTCGAAGAAGCAGCCTAGAAATTGAAGAAGACTTTCTGCTATGATTTGGTGCTTGATTTTGTAGAAACACTCTACAACTCTTACCCATAATGACGTGTTTTGTCATTCCCTATTTGAGAATTAGATCTCATGAACCAGGATCTTATTTTGAACATAGTACTATTGAATTTCAAGTCTGTCTGGTGAGAGCATTAACAAAGTTACATCCCTCAGTCTCAGCCAATATAGAATCTGCATCTAACTCTTGCCTTTCACTCACATTCTCCGTCTATGGCTACTCCTTCAGTCACGCTTGGTCTTCAACCTCGTGCTGGACTCATATCAAGAAAACCTAGAAGAGATGAAACACGAGGAGTATGGTTCGACCTGAAGAGAAGAGATGGGAGGGCTTCTTTGAAATAAAACGCAACTCTCGGGAGACATGATCAGAGATCAATCGAGACATGTGCTTGGGGGGAAGTTGCTGCACTTTCTTGCTTTGTGTCTCCGTG